TCTGTTTGGGTTTTAGTAATTGATGAGTGTTTACCCCTAAGAAAAACATGTAAAAATGTTCATTGAGAGAACTTTTCTCTTAAATCTGGTAGTGGCTTTTAAATTCTTTATTATATATCTTTTGTTTTTACTGAAAGCAACTGTATACTTTTTGTTGGTATGAAGCATATGCAGGTAATCGGCGCAATACAAAAAAAATGGCGGTAAAAGCAGAAGCCAGCTTATAACATAGTATATTGACACAAAAATATTGCTGAGGCAAGAGGCAAATTATTTATTCAGAAACAAAGCTGGGCTGTGAAGACAGACCCTTTAAGCACCTCCACCCCTCAAACAAGACTCTGACTACATAACAATACATTACCGGCTTTTGGGGAAGCACAGAGCTTAACTTTTATTTAGTGGAACTTAACGACCGGCTAGTAGTGCTACTAGGACGTACACTTAACACATAAAACTTAAAACTAATGCTTCGCGTTAACAACTTGTTTTATTGTCTTGCTTGCTTTCTTAAATATCCATGGCCATCCATTTTCACTGAGAGCCAAACGCATCTGTCCACCATCTAAAGCTCTTCCCAAATCGTTGCATAAAGTTATGCATGAATCACAGACAGAAGGACAGAACCTAAATTTGTAACCGAGTACTCCGGCCTTCTCAATCTTAAACCAACTGGTCAAAGTGCTAGCACCAGGGTCACCTTTAACCCCATCAGTTGTCACCCACCATTTGCCTGTCGAGGGGTCATAATTGTCAAGCTTCCACACAGTTGACGTCAAGCAGAGTCTGTCTCTGAGGGGAAGGAACTCTATGTTTACATCAGTAGATAAGCGGACAACACCATCTTTGCTATCCGCATTTGAAAAGATCACGGGAATACCGTCGTCGTCGAATCCTCTTTGAACGACAATTTCTGGACAGCTTTGACCTGTGGCCCTTCCTAGAGCTAGTCCGCCACCACCAGCACCCCATATTGCTGACACGACGTAATATTCAACCCCTGTTCGGAGTTCATCACCATCAATATCAAGCACCGGAGAGTCTGCAGCGTTGGCTACCCCAAAGAAATATGATTTTGATGCCAAGGCAAAGAGGAGTAGAACTACGGCTGTTGCGGTCTTCATGGTTAAGTGATATGTTTCTGGATATGTGTTGATTTGGATGCCGCTTAGTTTCTTTGATACCTCAATTTATAGAGGAAGGCAAAGGATGCCTGTCTCGGTTGGAAGCCATACATTATATTGTGGTGTTCATAAATCATCCCAATTCATGAATTCCTCAATATTTCAAAATAGCACATTTCAAACATGGAGTCGGGAGTCGGGACCACCTTTTGTGTTTTTTCTTCTTGTTTTAAAAATTAAGACCAATTTCGTTTAATTGCACGGTTATGGGCAATGACCACCACGCATGAGTGAGTCACGAGTGATAAATTGTTAAGTGACACGTGGTTATGTGACCACGTACTAGCTTCCAACACTATGGGCCACATACTCTTCTTGGGCTTTAAAGAAATGGGTTGTTCTGATCAGCTCGTCTTTCTTTTCTTCTGGACACGGTATTGCTTTTCCAGTTCTATATGGAGAGAGGATTCTTTTGCTCTTGTAACGTAAGTAGTGACGGCGTGAGGATTTTGTGTAAACATATTACGAGCTATTAATAAATAATTCAATGAGAAACAATTCACTAAAATTAATCACAAAAATGAAATACAGTATCAATAAACAAATCAATGAGGAAGCAATCCGAATAAAAAGGTTAATTGTTCACTAGAATCTAAGCAAATAAAAAGAAACACAAATAATTTGTAGGAAAGCAATGAAACAATGCCTAAATAAATAAGTAATAACTAACATTAGGTGCTTAATTAAATCTTTATTTTGTTGGTTTTAACAAAAAATGATTAACATAAAATATAAAGATTTTGATCTTTGGCATTTTAGATTGAGGCATGCTCTAATGGGAAGAATCAATGTACTGAACAAAAGTTTTCTAGAAATTAATTGTTTAAGTGATTTATTGTATGAAATTTGTCTTATGGTAAAGGAAGAGAGACTCTCATTCGCAGTTCATGTTCAAAGCTCAAAACCTTCTTTTGAAATAGTTCATATGGACATATGAGGTCCATATAAGGTTCATACTTAGAATGGTCACATATTTTTTTAACCATTGTTGATGATCTCACACTTTTTACATGGATATACTTAATGAAAAACTGGTCAGAAGTTTCATCAATTATTCCTATTTACAATAATCTTATAAAATTGGCATTGTTCAAAGCTCTATAAAGTGTTTAAGATATGATAATGGCCATGAGTTCAAACTCATTGAATTTTACAATAAAATTGGAATTGTTCATCAACTTTCATGCACTGGCACACCACAGCAGAATGGTGCTGTTGAAGAAAGCATCAACACATTCTAACTATGGCAAAGGCCTTAAGACATCAATCAAATATTCCTCTTACTTTTTGGGGGGATGCAATTTGAACTGCATTACATATAACTAACCGAGTACCAACTAGAGTCCTTCAAAACAAGTCACCGTGAGAGCTGCTATTTAAAAGACTTTTTTCATATGACCACTTTAAAGTATTTGGATGTTTGTGTTTTGCTTCCACACTAACACAAAATAGGAAGAAATTTGAGAGTAGGCCCAATAAATGCATCTTCATAGGTTATCCAAATCATGTCAAAGGATGCAAATTGTATGATCTTATAGCACAAATGATAACTCTATTATATAGAGTTACTTAGTCATATTTTGGATGTTAAAAGAGTTAAGTCCTTATGTTTTAAGTTAGCTTTAGATAGTTTTTATGTTTTTAGTTAATTAGTTTAAAGCATATTAACTTATTTCAAATCATGTAATTCTAGTTCATTCCATGTTGAAAGTCTTAATTTAAGCCAATACTGATCTAGTCCTTGTCTTTGTAGGATTTCAAATGCAAAAAGTTAAATGATGATGAACTATGCAATGGAAACCAAGTACAAATTTTCACTAAACATGTTGTGTTAATTCTAGCATAACTTGACCTACAAAGATTTAATCAATGTCATTATTGGACCATAGAAAAGCTAAGAGGCAAACCTAAAACAGTCATGTTTAACATTTTTCCCAAATCAGCTTTGAGGTAGGAGAAAATAAAATTGCAAAATGAGGTATTGTAGCAGTTCTTGCACCAAGGCGGCACAAGGAAGTAGCATCGCGGCCTCGAAGGACTCAAAGCCATAGCACCTAAAAGAGTAGCATTGCTCCCTTAAAAATTCCTGAGAACTCAGTGCCATGGCAGCTATGGACGAGGGGGACGGTCCTAGTTAGAAGTCAGTGAAAAAAATAAAGAAGTGTAGAGTGTTGTGGCGCTCTGACATGTTTATTAAAACACAACCATTCGGGATTTTATTTTTTAGGGTTTTTTAGTAGTTATAAATATGTGATTTTTAGCATTTAAAAGGAAAAGCTCTGAGAGGGAAACAAATGGTAGTTTAGAAAGAAAGAACAAGGTTTTACAAATGAGGAAATAAAAAGAATATGAAAACGATTGAATATCGAGAATCAACTACAACTTTGTTCTTCATTCTAGTTTTGCATTTCTCTCTTATCATTTGTTACAGAAATGATTTATTCTCTTGAAATTGTTATATTTGCTGAAGAAATGATGATGAACTAAATTCTTTTTCTAGGATTCTTGTCTATTTCAATATGCAATTTGAATATATGATTTTTCTTTGCATAGTATTAATGGGTATTGTATGGTTTATTCAAATTTTTGTTTATTGCATTTTACTGCTTGATCACTAGTTGGTATGATTAAGATTTCTAAATGCAACTTCATGAAGGGAGTTTAGATTAGATCATTGATTTGAATAGCTTATGTTCAATTCACTTAGAGATTCGGTAATAGATTCATATTTGGGATAAACATATACCTAAATACCACAGGTAGCCATATTAGAACTTAAACTTAATGATTTTCTTAACAAATTTGCATAGGCATGTGAAATTAATTTTGAAAAGTATGTGAGCAAGAATCTCGACAAAGACTTGTACATAAAATCAGATTCTAAGTTAGCCATTCACCCCATTAATATAAGATTAAAGGAAAAGATTAAATTCAAATGAAATATCGAAAGACACCATGATCCTAAGATTTTAAAGTAATAGTTTCCTTAGTAAAATTAAATTCATATCTTTAGTTTAGTTTCAACAGTAAATTTTACATTAATTACATATTAAAAATTAAGTGGTTGGATAGGATAAATTTTGTTAAAAATTTAATACTTAGTAAATGTTTATGGGTAAATCTCTGTGGGACATGGTATTTGGCTTGCGTCTTTATTACTTGAGCGATATGTATACTTGCATGTACAACATTAACAACAACAAAGAGTCATGGTATTTAGAGATGTTGTTTTCCATGAGGATACTTTTCCATTTCATTATTTAAAACATGACAAACAAGACTTTAAATTGATAAGACATCTTATAAATTATGAAAAGGCTATTCTCCTAACTTAAAATATTTGAAAGTGTGGGGGTGTCTTGCTAAAGCTATACTTCTTGATTTTAAGAAAAGAAATATTGGCTCTAATATGTCTGATTGCATGTTTAGTGGTTATGCCAAATATAGTGTTACATATAGATTTCTCACATTAAAAAGTGATGTTCTTGATAATAATATAATTGTGGAAATAAAATATGCTCAATTGTTTATCATATTTTTTCATTGAGAATTAATACAATTTCTCATGCATCTTTTAGTAAAAATGATTTTGAAATACAAAATGATGATTTAAGAAGAAGTAAAAGACCAAGGAAAAAAATTTCTTTTAGTAATGATTTTTATACTTATCTTGTAGATAATGATCTTTTAACTTATGTTAAAGTAATTTCTTCTAAAGAAAGTCTATTTTAGAAAGAAGCTATACAGAATGACATTAATTTGATTTTACAAAATCAAACTTAGAAATTAGTGGATTTACCACTTGGAGCAATACCAATTGCTTGCAAATGGATTTTTAAAAGAAAAATTAATTTTAATGGCTCTATTGATAAGTACAAAGCTATATTAGTTGTAAAAGATTTTACTCAAAAATAAAATATTAACTATTTTAATACTTTTGCTCTAGTAACAAGAATTTCCTCATTCATGTTTTATTTGCCTTAGCTTTGAATTACGAACTTGTTGCTCATCAAATGGATGTTAAAACCTCCTTTCTAAATAGTGATTTGAAAGAAGAAATTTATATAACACAACCCGAGGGATGTGTTCTTCCTAGTTAAAAAAATAAAATTTTTAAATTGACTAAGTTTTTATATAATTTGAAACAAGCACCAAAATAAAGCGTGAGAAATTTGATTAAGTTCTTATTAGTAATGGATTTTTTGCTGTTGGAGTTGACAAATGTATGTACATGAAAACTGTTGATAGTGAATGTGTGATTATTTGCTTATTTGTTGTACATGCATTGATGTGGTCAATAAAACAAAATGGTTCTTGGCTTCTAAATTTAATATTACACATCCCTGGAAAAGCCAATGTTATTTTGAGTATTAAAATTATAAGATGTGATAGTGGCTTAATGCTAACAAAAGAGCATTATGTTGAGAAACTATTTAAAAAGTTTAGATATTTTGATGTCATATCGATAAGTACTCTTTATAATAGTAATATCCAATTAAAGAAAAATAAAAGTGATAGTGTGGCACAATCTGAGTATGCTCAGATTATTTAGAGTCTGATGCATTTTATAAATTAAATTCGACTTGATATAGCTTATACTATATGTAGACTGATCAGATATTCACAAAGTCACAATCAAGATCATTTGAATGCGTTGAGTAGAGTAATAAATATTTGAAACGTATCATAAACTATAGTATTTTATATAATGGATTTCTTATTGTATTTGAAGGGTAGTGATGCTAACCGGATCTCAGATTCAGATCGGACAAAATCCACAAGTGGTTATATATTCACCCTTGGTGGGGGTGCTATAACTTAGAAATTAACCAAATAAATAATAATTGCTAAATCTACAATGGAGTCTGAATTTTAACTTTAGAGTTGGCTGGCAATGAGGCAGAGTGGTTAAGAAACCTCTTAGCTAATACTCTGTTGGAAATGAAACCAACAGTTTTCGTATCTACGTATTATGATTGCCAAGTGGCAATAGCC